AAATTCACACCTGACTGCCACTTGTGTTTGCTTTAAAAACTTGAGAAATACAGTCATGGAAAAAATGATGAGCCCACCTTGTTTTCTTCAATTTCCTGTTCATTTTAATGCCTGGTACCACTAACGGTCCATTTGTTTGGACAGATATAATGAGAACAACAAAAATAGCTCATAAGAGTTTAATTTCAGAGCTGATATCAGACACGTTCCACGGTTTTCCCTGAAGTTCTTACATCAGGAGCTATGGCTTTGTGCTGCCAGAAACAGAGCTTTTAAGCTTTTCTGTCTGTTGTAGTCACATGACACACAGGAGTTAGTACCTGATGGCAGAACCATAGTTTCTGATGACTGCAGCCATGCGTCTTGGCTGCTCTCCACCAGGTTCTGACATGGTTCTGCTGCCACAGCAGCTCATTCCTGTTGCACTAACTCAAACTAATGTGCTTTGTTTTTGGGCTTGTGCTTCTCCATTTAGTGTTTGATGACTTTCCATAGGTTTTCAGCTGGATGTAGATCTGGTGACTGAGCAGGCCAAGGCATGGTTCCAGTGTTCTGGTTCTCCATCCAGGCTTTAGCTGACCTCGCCGTGTGGCAAGGGGCATCGTCTGGTTGGAAAATCCAGTCATTGGAGGCAGGAAAGAGTTTTCCAGATTTCCAGAGGAAGACTGTTTTCCAGAGCAGCCTGTACAGGACCTGCTTCATTCGCCCTTCACACGGTTGCATTTGCCCTGTTCCCCCCAAACTGAAACCAGCCCAGATGGTCACTGATCCACCCCCATGTTCTACTGTAGGGGCAGGACAGTCTGGTCTGTAGGTTTCTCCAGGCTTCCTCCTAACCAGGAAGTTGGCTGGAGTGGGCATCAACTGAACATTGGATTCATCCCTGAAGAGAACCTGAGCCCAACCATCACCAGTCTAATCCTTGTGATCCCAGCAGAGAGTAACCGGGCTTTCCTCTGCCTTTGGCTTCAACAAGTCGGTTTCCAACTCTCCCTGCTGAACAAGTCACGTTTCTCCACAGTGCCACTCATTTTAAGGTCCCTGGAGGTCTGATGACGAGTCCTGACACAGGAACAGATGAGTGCTCGGTCATCTCGTGGGGTAGAAAGACGTTTCCTGCCGTGACCAGCTAGCATTGTGGCAGCACCATGATTGGCTAGTGTAATGAACAGCTGTCACTCACGTTTATTCCCAGCAGAGCCAAGATGGCTTCACATAATTATTTTGGTTTAGGCATGATGTGAGAGCTGACAGCTTCTGGGCTGCGCTACGGCTTGAATGTAAGCAGGAAACTACTGTAGGCCTTTGCATGTGCTTATGACATGAAACGGCCTCTTATAGACCCTACAGGGAACACAATGAAGCTGAAGCATGTCAAATAGGACGTAAAGTAGGATGGAATCAGCTGCATTCATTGTATTCTTCAGGTAATATACCTTTACTGGTTCCACGCATTGAAATGAACAAGAAATTGAAGACTAGCGGTATGTTAAGAGGTATTTACTGTGCAAATGAGAAGCATGATGTGTTCTTAGTGGTGAAAGAAAAGTACATTATCTGGATAAATGCTCCTAATGAATGTTCCCACAGCCTCCTGCCTCCTACAGAGCAAAGAGATGACTACAGACAGGTGCCTGCAGCTATGTTTCTTCCTCTCACCTTCCATCATTTCACCTGCGCCTTTAGGATACGTGTACAGGACTTTCCTCGGGGGGATGAGCTCTGAGGCGCTGAACCCAGAACCAGTCACCGAGCTGCCGCTGACTCCTCCCGCAGAGGACGACGAAGAAGACGCTGCCATTGCCTTAGAAAACACACACAGACACACACTCTTATAATATGTGAGACATAAATACGGCGTGTTTAAATGATGGCAGTTAACTGTAGTCAACAAGCTTTTGTAGGTTTCCAGCGACTATCAACAGTCCTACTGGGTGGCTAGCAAGGAAGCTAACTATCCTGCTGACAGCAAAGCACACCACAACCGTCCGCCATTAATGTTGCTAGACACACAATAATAATAAAAAAGAACCCGTTTCTACTGTCAAACTTACCGTCGGTGTCCCGGTAAATCTAAAACGACTTAAAACCCACGCAGTTGGCTCTGTTGTTGTTTGGATTTCTCAGCTCTAGTTTACGACAGCGAGGAGCGTTTTACGTTTGAAGCGACGTCGCACTCACCGCAGATTTCACACTCATCCGGATGCCGTCGTCCGCCGCCGTGAGGGCCTTAAATTTGTTTTGTAGATCGACAAAAACGTTTAAAAAATGGCCCCGATGTATCGTAAAGCAGGGAAGCCGACGTGTGGAGGCAAGTCACTAGTAGTTTGACAGCAACCAGCGAGTTAAATTAGTTTTAAAAGACAAAGTAAGCTAATTTACACCGTTTTCGTGTAGCTAGCTTGCTAGTGTGCTATCTGTTTGTGTTGTCAGGTTAGCATACGCTTTGCTAACGTTAGCTAGTTCACAGTATGGATGTGCTACGTCCAACTCTTATTAATATAAATGGAAGAATGTACCGCAGGAATATGATTAAGGAGGAACATTATGAGGAGGAAGAAGATTGCTCTTACATGGAGCCAACAGGTGAGTAGTAACAGGTAATATGCACGTTTGTATGCTATCACACTGTAGCCACAATGGCTTCAAAACAAACCTGTAACACGTGTGTGTGTGTTTCTAGAGAGTGAAGATGCAGCAGATGAAACCTGTGACAGCCACTTCATTGAACAGACAGATAAAGGTTACCGCTGTGCCATCGATGTCCCAAGTGTTCTTTACAAGTCAGTAATCTCAAAATACACACATTTAAGCTGTTCTCTATCTTCCTTAATGTCAAAAGAGAAATATGTTTTGTTTCTAAGCTATATAATACGTGCCTGTGTTTGTCTGTGTTTCTTTGTTTCCGTTGTTGTTCTGCAGATATATCATTGGAAAAAAAGGAGAAACACGCAAACGTCTGGAGGCCGACACAAAGACTTCCATCAGTATCCCAAAACAAGGAGTGGAAGGACAGATCGGTGAGGATCGAAAGCAAACGTGGTCGCTGTAACGCTGATCAGAGAGCAAAAGAGTTTCTCCTCACTTTCTTCCTTCGCTTGACAGTTATCACGGGTTCCCACAAATCTGCTGTTTCATCTGCCGTCACTCGAGTTGAGGTCCTTATGGAGAGTTTCCGGAAGAAGCAGCCTTTCACGCACTTCCTTTCATTCCCGCTGAACGATTCCAAAATTCAAGAGGGATTCTTGACATTTAAAGACAAGGTGTTGCAGCAGTTTTCACAGGTACTGCAGAGGGGAATGGTAATGATCAGGGGCAGCGGTGGCTTTGTGTTGTTAAAGGTTGGCACTTGACTCTGTTAATACATTCTGTGTTCACAATTTGTCGCTGCTCAATGTGTAGGATCACGGAGTGGAGGGAAGCATCTTTCAAAACCCTGCAAAGCTTCACCTGACAGTCGGCACTATGGCTCTACTGAATGACATGGAAGTGAGAAAAGCATGTGAACACCTCCAAGAGTGTCAAAGGTTCATCAGGTAGGGGCCAAGCAAAATTTTTATATCATACTAAGATTAAACTGTGTACTTGAAGGCACTCTTTATTTGAAAAGACTTGAAAGGTGGTTCAGTGGTTAGCACCGTTGCCTCACAGCTAGAAGGTTGCCGATTGGCGTCCCGGTGAGGACACCCGGGATCTTTCTGCGTGGAGTCTCCATGTTCTCCCCGTGCAGCGTGGGTTCTCTCCAGGTTCTCCGGCTTCCTCCCACAGTCCAGAAACATGCTGAGGTTAATTGGTGATTCTAAATTGTCCGTAGGTGTGAATGTGAGTGTGCTTGGTTGTCTGTCTCTAAGTGTAGCCCTGTGATAGACTGGTTACCTGTCCAGGTGAACCTGCCTTCACCCTGAGTCAGCTGGGATAGACTCCAGCCCCCCATGACACTAGTGAGGACTAAGGTGTAGAGATGATGGATGGATGAACTTGAAAAAAAATGACGATGTCTGTAGTTTTCTTATTGTTAACAAAGTCCATGAAAAACAACCATGAATCGATCCTACTTACACGTACGACGTGTGAAACCAAAGCCTGTTAGAATATTCATTTGTGTCGTAGAACTTTGGTTTTGTCCAAAAAACCTCTTGAAATCACAGTAATGACACGTTTGTTTGTTAAAATGAACACTGGTCCCGTAGTTTAGTTTTATTACATTTGAAAAAGAACTGTGTGTGAACATTTATTTATCCTCTCGTTGGATGACCTGAGCGACTCAGTCAAATTACGGCTAGACAGAGTTGTTGATACAAGTCTGACGGTCATCTGAGGAGAGATCAACTACAGACAGACAACAGGCTGTTTGGGAATATGCTGAACAAGCTGATGTCTCCAACTTGAACCTTATACCGCTTCAGGAATGTGCTCCCAAATGTCTTGGTGCCACATACCACCGGCCACTTTCAGAGGTTGTGTAGAGTCCATCTGTTGACATGTTGCAGCTGTTTTCGCTACGCGTGAAGGACAGAAAACATATTAGCATTGTTTTGGCTTATCAGTGTATAAATGTGAGCTAATTTTACATCCTCAGGAGTAGCAAATGTCTAGACTTCAGATTATCGCTGTTTATTTATGGGATTTGTTTACAACATGGATTGTCACTAACTTTATCTTTTAATACGCTAACTTGTGTTATAGTACATTTTGATTGAGTAATTGAGATATTTATTTTGAATATGGAAAGACAAGTACCCAGTAAACAAAGAATTAATATTAAATACAAATAGACAACTGCTGGGCTTACTTTCATTTCGCATTACCTGTGATGTGTTTGATGTAAAACAAACTCAGAATCACAGCTCCGCCTTGTGTTATCTTTCATCAGGGACATCACTGATGGAAAACCTCTGCCACTGCAGGTGACAGGTATAGAGTACATGAATGATGACCCGGCCATGGTGGACGTCTTGTATGCCAAAGTCAATGTGAAAGACGGCTCAGATAAGTAAGAACATCAGTGAAGAGCTGAATACGTTTTTAAAGCTGACGCCTCGTTATTTTAAAGCTTTAATTCAGCCTCTGTTTAGCAGTTTGTGTTTTGAATATTTCCCCCCTTTAGGTTGCAGGTGATTGCAGATCGGCTGGTGGAACATTTTGTCTCGGCGGGGCTGATGATTAGAGAGTGGGACAGAGTGAAGCTGCACGGCACCGTGATGAACACTCTGTTCAGGAAGGACTCCACAGGTAAAGACATAACATGCACACGACGGCCTAGCAAGCACTTACACAAGGAGAAGAAGTTATTGACCTGCTGGGAGCGCGCTGGTAGCTGCTGCTGCCCTGAACAAATTTGCCAATGTCCTCTTATTATCTTTTGGCTTGGACCGGAGCTGCAGTGACGCCAAAGCTGCATCTTGAACAATTGCAACAACAAATGTGCGCGGAGAGGAATCAGGGAGGTAGTTCTCTGTTTGGCCACCGCTCTGTTTACGTGCACCAGGCCGTGTGTTTTCCAAGTACTCTGACAATGGCCTCATTCATTTTGGGACATGGATCAAGTCCAGCAGCAGCAGCTCTCAAATTTGTACCGAGCTGACCAACAAAACAGCACAAGCGAGGGGCCGTGCCACTGCTGACCATGTTTACCGCCGTGTGGACAAGCCCTATTAACATTCAGTGTGTGTGTGTGTGTGTGTGTGTGTGTGTGTGTTTTCTTTCCCCCTTCGTTCCTATTTCACAAACACATTTTACAAACTAAATGACCTTGACTGTCACCGTGCCGTCGTGCTACAACTGCAAGTAAACCTGTTTGTTTAATCACCCTGATATCTTATCTGTGTTGTCGTCGCTCCGTGTTACGTTGTTCAACTTGTCTTTTTTGCGCTCTGGTGTTTTTCCAGTTGAAGACACGGGCGGGACAGGAAGACAAGCCGTGAGTGAAAGGGAGGCGTTTGATGCCAGAAACATATTAAAGGTTAGAGGAAATTTACTGCTGCTGAATTACATCCAGACTCCTCGACTGCTGTTAATGCAATATTATAGTTATAAATGGGGATTTTTAAATAGGTTACACCAGAATAACACAACATGTAGCTGCTTAAAAACACTTTTGTATGCGCTGCCTGTCCAAACATTTGAGGCAAACAGGCTTATTATAAAGGTTTCCTAAAATCTAAACTGTATAAAGAAAATAACTAGGTCTTGATTATTCTATTTAACCACCTGCAGCCATATTGTACCATTCAGCTGCTGCAGCACACTGTATTTCGGTTTTCCAACTGTGCCTGACATTTCCACCACACTCGGGAGTCCCACGAGATTGCCATTTAATAAGTGCTTAAATGGGGAGATTTAGGTCTCTGGGTGGAACAGGACAGAAGCATGCACGGAGGATAATCAGGTTAATTTTGGGGCTGATTCACGTCTGTCGTTGCAAAAGGTGTTGTTGATTTCAGACTGGCACTAAATGATTATGTTCCCAGATTAGCGGCGGTGTGAAATAAGTAATTAAACTTTAAACCACTTGATCTCCTTAAAAGTCACGGCAGTCGGATTTCAAATCAGCAGCGTGTTTGTTTATGACTTTACCTCCAGCCTGTGTGGAGGGAACATGGATTCCCTACTGGCTGCTTATCAACCTATTCTGTAAGTGTGTGTTGCTCTTCTTCGGCTGTAACGTCTACAGAGCATCTGGAAAGTACTCACAGTGCTTTTACCACATTTTGTTATGTTGCAGCCGTGTTCTGAAATGGATTAAATTAATTTTTTCCCTCAAAATTCTGGACAAAATACACCATTATGACAACTTGGAAGAAGTTCTTTTTGAGATTTTTGCAAATTTATTAAAAATAAGAAACTAAGAAATCATATGTACATAAGTTTTCACAGCCTTTGCTCAATATTTTGTTGGCAGTAATTACAGCCTCTAGTCTTTTTGAATATGATGGCACGCCTATCTTTGGCCAGTTTTGCCCATTCCTCTTTGCAGAACCTCTCAAGCTCCATCAGGTTGGATGGGAAGCGTCGGTGCACAGCCATCTTCAGATCTCTCCAGAGATTGGATTCAGGTCTGGGCTCTGGCTGGACCCCTCCAGGACATTCACAGAGTTGTCCTGAAGTCTACAGACAGGTCTTTTGACTTCATGCTTGTTTTGTGCACTGTGGAACCTTTTATGGACAGGTGTGTGCCTTTCCAGATCATGTCCAATCAACTGAATTTACTACAGTTAGACTGTAGAAACATCTCAAGGATGATCAGTGGAAACAGGATGCACCTGAGCTCAATGTTGAGCTTCATGGCAAAGGCTGTGAATATTTATGTACATATGATTTCTTAGTTTTTTATTTTTAATACATTTGCAAAAATCTCCAAAAAAATAAACTCACAATGGTGTATTTTGTGTAGAATTTTGAGGGAGAAAATGAATTTCATCCATTTTAGAACACGGCTGTAACAGAACAACATGTGGTAAACATGAAACGCTGTGAATGCTCTCCAGATGCTCTGTATGTGGGGCTTTTTTACAGCAGGTATCTTGACTTGTCTTAGGAGGGAAAGCACAGGTTTTACTCATCAGCTTAACGATGAGCATGCACAACACCTGAACTCTGAAACTGATTAATGATTATCATCATTTACGCCTGTGCTCTTCTTACATGTCAAAGCTTTGTCTGTAAAAAGGTTTTTCGTCCAGTGTTGTGTGAGTGACAGATGACGTTGTATAGCAGAGGTTTTATTTAAATGCGGCAGGAATTGTTTAAACAATGACCTGCTTCATTTGACCAGCAGGAAGACTAATCTGGTAACAACCTAATTAAAGTGACGATGAGCCCCTTAGATCTCGGTCATTTAGGGCATTTCAGAAACATAAAATGACATCAGAAGTATGAATCATTTCAATGCTAAATGTCTAATATCTTGTACAACAATTAGGAATGCACTGCGTACAAGTCTGTTGTCATTTCGGGGGAACAAGAATTCACCTGTGAAGCATCGATTGGTTGTTTTTAAAGAGTCGCTCTAATAAATCTTCCATCTGAAATGCAGCACCGATTTCACTGGAGACAAAAAGCTGAACGTCTCTGTTTGAATAGCAATACTGTTATGGATTTTTTTCCCTGAGAATGTCACAAAGGTACCAACTTATTGCTCAGTTTCCTGTAACCATGGTAACAGCATGTTTGTCTGAGTGACAGCTTGAGTGTTTTTTTTTACTGTGTAGCACAATGTTGACGTTTTACTCAGCGGTCACACTGTTTTCTTAAGATGCAGTGAAATGTCTACAACTATGATGACATATTGCTTTATTTAAATTTACAAACTCGCTGTTTTCTTTGCAGACATTCGGCGCCTACTGTTTTGGAGAGTTTGAGCTCGACGCCGTTCTGCTGTCCCAGAGATATTCGACTGACTGCACCGGATACTACAGCTCTGCAGGCAGCATCAGCTTCTCTTGAGCCTCAGCAGGACTGAGCTCATTCTGAGGTGGGAAATGAATACAGAAGTAGTTTCCGTATGGGGAGGGGGGCGTTGCAGCAGTTGTGATCGCGTTTGTCCACTAGGTGGCAGCATGGTTTTGTTGTCTCGCAGAAGACTTGTGTCACCGCTGCCTGAATCGTATTCATTGCTTTCTGAAACCCCTCAGGAACAATTTTATAAGGGAAAAAAAATGATCAGAATGTTTGAAATTTCAGACTGAAGCTCTTTCAAAAGATGAAACATGCAGGCGAATCCATCCTAAGATACTGGAGGCAGTCAGATTTCTGTTTTTTGTGCTGTAGTCTCCAGACAATTGGTTCTCTTCGGGGAATCTGAGTCCAACAACATCAAAGCAGGTGACACAAAATACGTTTCAATGGATCCAGAGAACAACATGGAAAAGAAATCAGACATTTGCATTACAAACTTTAGCCATAAATACGTTTATCTGGATTTTTGAAAACAGTTTACATTTGCAAGCTGAGGGATGTGTTGTTGACGATGGAAAGGTTTTGTTTGATTTCGTCACGGCTGGATGGTTTTGCTGTGACCTGAGCTGTTCTCCCAGAGGAGGATTATTGACTTTGGATTGATGTCAGGGTTACGTTTTTTTATGTTTTTGTAGTGATGCTGCATAAATTATATAATAATGTTGACGACAGAAGAGTTAATTTACTCCATTTTGAGACGCTTGTCCCTGAATATTTCTGTTTAATTTGATTCATCTCCACTCCATTACATCCTGGAGGTTGTACTTTTTACTTCACTACATTTATCTGACAACTATAGTTCATGTGTACATTAAAATTTCACACACACATGATCAATCTATACAAAAAGCTGTTTAGGCTGCATACTACGTGCACACAAATGCCTTTAAGTCTCAGATTTGATGCTTTTACTGCATGTCCACTCTTTCCCTCATTTCATGTGTCTCTCCGCTGCATCTATCGAACAATAGTCAAAAAAAAGAAACCCAGCAGCAGAAAGTCACGCTACCTTGACCAACCAGTGCCACGTACACATGAATCCAGCATTAATAATAACTCAAATACAATGCGTTTAGTAATTCAGCCCTTTAAAGAGGAGCTTTTTACATATTTCTTGCTGGAAATACCTCAGTATTTTCACTTAAGTGACATTTTGAAGCCAGAACTTTCTACTTGTAATACTTCCTACTGACGTGAATGACCTCAGTGCTCCTGCTTTTTGTCCCCCTGGTTGAGTGTCAACATCCGAATACAGCGATACGCCGCAAACTGTTAAAAAATGTAATGGGATATATTGAAAGCCGTGTTTCTTCCCTGGAGCCGGCCGTTCTTGTCAGACGATTGGCTGGTACATCTCATAAATGCTCGGGCTGCTCATAAAAATGTCAGTGTTGATGGCGCGCGTTTAATAATTTAAGGAGCCTTCCTGCACCGTCTCACCTGTCAGCCGTACGAGCCCAAGTCGCTGCTGTGCTTCAGCCAATCCCGGCCGCTCTGTTTTGATAGAGACTTTTACTGGGAGACTGATTTAGCAAATATGAAGTTCACTGTAACTGATGTTGGCAAAAAAAAACAAACCTCGTGCCAAAGCGGAAAGCTCCGGGTCGAGTTTCACGCCGGTCCGGTCTCATCTTTGCCCCGGCTGGACGTCACAGCCAAGCGTTAGCCGTTTCATTTCATCTCACCGCCTCATGAATGTGTTAATGCATCACTGACATGATTTATTACACCACTCTGGGTTTTTTTTTTTTATCAGTGCCCTTCCCACACGAAGCTCAACCTTGTTCCCACTCCCTTCTGTCGAGTGTGTCAGTGAATACAGACGTCGGACGCAGAGCCCGGCCACTTGCTCTTGCCGTCAGAGCTTTTTTTTTTTTCCTCTCCCCCCTGTCTTTCCCAGCCTTCCCCTTCAGCTGGCTCTCTGTTTGGCATGCAGGAGGGGGGATCGCCGAGCGGCCAAAAGTTACACTGATGAAAACTGAGGGCGCTTTTTGTTTGTCCGGTGCTGTCCACCCTCCCATCTCGGCAGTGGCGTGATTTCCCCTCCACCCTTGTTCTCCTGGAGCAATGTCTACAGACACCATTAGATATGGACATGCAAATTTTGTCATTGGAAAACAGCTAGCTAGCCGAGCTGTCCGTGCATCGACTGTCTGGGCATGAAATGTATTTTTTTTTCCCGACTCGGGGAAAGGGGCCTAATTATCCACGCCCGGTCCCCTGACAGTATGCTTGTTAGCGGGTCAGGAGTGCACACCCAGCATAACACCAGTCTCAGGTAATAGATACAGAGAGGATCCTGGGAAATGGCAGCACTATTGCTCATCGGCTCACACGCAGTGGAAGGACAGAAAAAAAAAAAAAAAGTAAGAGAGACAGATGACTTACAGTTTAATTAAATTCATTGAGACTGTGCATCCGTGTTTCTTCTGGCAGGGACATGATTAAGGATGTGTTGTGCAGATGTCCTCGGTAATGATGGCGCCGAACACACGTGAAGAAACATACGTCAAGCAGGGACTGCAGTTTTATTTAAATGGCCATATGTGTGATTTGTTGAACAGATCAGGAGCATATTGGAACAGGGTGAAGGATTATTTTTCATTAGTCAGTCATAGTTTCTTGATAAATGTGCTGATTGTCTATTAAAGGCCAGATAATGTAGAAAATGGGAAACATTTAAAACCCCCAATGTGGCTTTTACAAGTAGCAGACAAACATTTGTTCAATGATTTATGGCATATTCTAATTTAGATGTAATTCAGTTGCTATAAGGACACTTTAATATAAGTAAATGTTAATAATTAACAACTGGATGTCTTAGTATCGCATCTGTTGAGTGTCGTGTGAGTGCACAAGTGACTTAAAGTTGTTGGTAAATAGTAGATAAGTACCTGTCTTCTTACAACTACAATATAGTATTACAGGCCTTTTACTAAATGCTTGTTTTGGTGACTATTTATAAAGTCAAAAGAGGATTTATCATTAAATGTTGCTAAAAAAAATGTCCACGGAGCCCAAGTTGGCGTCTTTAAATCACATCATTTGTCCACATAATGGACCCAAGTCCCTAAATATTTGATTGACGTAGAAAAAGGAGCAAAGTGTCACATGTGAGAAGCTGGAACCAGCGACTGCTCAGCTGTTTGGCTGATAAATGACTCCGTGCTTATTAGTTATTTATACTGGACACGTTCATTTTTTACATTCTGGTACTGATCAGAAGGTTTTTTTTACCTTGTCAGCTTGTCCATGTGGTGTTTTTTCTTATATGCTGGAAGACACATCATGAGTTAAATAAGCAGTCAAGCAGCTGAGTGGACTGATGACAGTCTCCAAAGCACAGATCAACATGTCAGGGTTTCATACATAAACCACATGTCAGGTTTCGTTCTGAGGTTTTCTGTGTCGTTGTTCTGCTGCAAAATTAGTTTCTGAACACCTGCAGCTCACCTCGATATTACAGCTTAGCATTGTGTAGTTTTTCATCTTCTGGAGGAAGCGACGGTTTGGAGTTACGTCGAAGCCATTTCAAGTTGTGAAATGATTTCTTTTTATTGATGAGAAACTCAAAATATGAAACTTTGAAACCTGCAGATCACTCTTTTTTCTGGAGTTTTGATCAATAACTGGAGAAGGACTTGAAAAAACACAGAGCATTACGAGCACCTCTGCCTGATACGCCGCCGGTCCTTCGTGTGACACCGAAGCGGCTCCGACCTGTCGGGACGTGGCCTCTGCAGGACCTCTGAAGGTGTCCCGCGGCATCTGGCAGCAAGATGTTAGCGGCAGCTCCTTAAGTCGGATTAGACTTGTTGTTCCATCACATCCTGCTCTGATCACTGTCAGCAGGTTCCCACCGCCGCCGACCATCCCACACGCCTCGCTGTTCCAGACATGCGTGACTTTAAAGCCGTTACGGTTTGACCCTTGTCAAAGTCGCTCAGGTCTCAACACCTGGCTGTTCCTCCTGTGTCCAACACCTTTAACGATGCAGATCACGTGGCCGCTGAACATCTGCAAATCTTGGCATGCTTTTCCATTTCTGGGTGCTCATAGTGTTACAGCTCATCTGCAGTAAAGTGACTCTCTAACAAAACCACGTTGCCATGCATGTCTGCGTGGGCGAGCTTGCTTACGCACTGCCCAACATACGTACTGTTTTTTTTTTTTCCTCCGTCCCTGCCACATCTCTCACCCCAATTAGTCATCTCTGTGATTCCTACAGTGTGAACGTCCAACTGAAATTCAAAACTAGCCTCCGCCACTTCCCATCAGGCTGATGAACGAGACCCCAGTGTCTGTTTGTGTTACCACGAATCTGCCGCCTATCTCTGAAGATCTAACGAGGCAGAGACGCTGCACCTTAATTAAAATGTTAAACAGTTGCAGGGATGTGCGCATGTGCTTGTTTACACGACGAGCCGAACGGGCCGCGTGTTGTGAGGGGTGATAGACGACGCCCACCGAAAACGTGCTTTTGCAACGCCGAGCCAGCTGATAGAAACTTATTTTCCGATCCATTTACTTTACGTGTTAAAAGTGTAGGAAGAAAAGAGGCGTGATTTCACAGGAAGCAAAAGCAATCACCTCGATAAGCCCACAACGCTCCAAAAATGTTCACCCAGCCCCCTTCACTAATGAGAATTCATATCGTGTTCGGCAACTGAAGTCTTGCGTTATCTCGTATTGTTTAGACCTCCACCCAATTTGCATATTTAATTTCATGCCAGTTTTTAGAGTGGCTTTTTTTTTTTTTTTAATGCAAAAGCTGTTTGAAATAGTTGATCAATGTCAGTCTTTTTTTCTGTTTTGATATTCAGCACCACGCCGTGCGATTTTTCACAGCGTAATTAGAAATTAAGCTTTCTTTCGGGATTGATGGCGTTAACATCTGCTGGGAAAAGCGGATGATGTTTGACAGACTTGACATTTTAATACAGTAGATATGTTTGATTTGCACGCTCGGAGTGACTAACAACATCGATTGAGCGCCTAATTATTTTTTTTAAGGTCACGGTAAGTTTAACTCGAGCGCACCTTAAAACGTGGGTCGGCTCTGTTTAACCGCATAAAACGTGTGAAATCCAATTAACTGATAGAAGAAAGATCACTTGGCAACGGGGACGCACTGGGATGACATTTCTGCAGGTAGCGTCGTATTCCTTAGCTTTCCCCTTGAATTTCTCCAGATTGTTTTAGGGCGTCTGACTGATCAAAGGTGCTCCATAAATGATTCAGCAAGACAAAAATCTGGATCTCTCAAACCGAACGTCGTTAGCGGTGAAATATGACAGCGCACCTTTTTTCTGACTGCTCTCTTATGCTGAGTGTGACTCTGCGGTCGCGTGCCAACGTGGTTTGAACGTCTCACTAATCACTCTGTCACTAATGGGCATAACAGGCCGCTGATGGACAGCCGAGGCTGGAGTATTTGAAATGTCTAATCTGTGTCTCCAGCGAGAAGGCAGGTGATCCCTGCGGCAGCTCTTTGTCATTCAGAGTGCTGAGTCTGGAGACTGCCTGCAGCTGTCCACGTCTGTTTACTGCTGGAGGCGTTCACGCAGCGAGCAGAGGCACAAAGCCCAGAGTGTTTGAACAGCGAGGAGTCATTCAGAGCCGCTGTTTACTCTGTGTCACTTTGCACAATAAGAGTTTAAAAATAGGACGCGCGAGATATTGTCATTATCAGGTGGCGTCTGTTACGTTTCTGATCTGTGAAATGTCAGAAAAATGCCTTCCGAGTTGTCCTCAAATGGCGTTTTGTCGCCTGTCAGACATCCACAAAACCCAAATGTGTTTAATTTACAGGAATGTAAAGCAGAAAAGCAACAAATCCTCATATTAAGAAGCTGTAGCTGGTGAATAAAGTCCATAAATGTCATGGAAGCTGACATGGAAATGGTTGGGACTTTAACGAAGGTAGAACCGGCGTCTCCTCATAGAGATGCTGTGGTGGACGTGTTCGCTAAACAGCTGCTTATATACACATCTGTCAGACACAGAGCCGCATTAGCATTCATTTGGAGTCTGTTTGTGGCCACCTGATGAATGGAAGTCCAATATTTATTCTTCTTTTAGGCTTCTGCTGTTTAAATACCATCTAAATGTTCAGCAGCCACTTTGTCTGCCGGCCTTCGGCACCGAGGGGCCTCGTTTTTTAAAGATGTCTGCATATCGCACCTGGATGACAGCAGAACTGTGAAGGTGCATCAGTGGAGCCTTAGCATTAAGCCGAAATGCACTAAAACATCGGATGTAACTGCGTGGAACAACAGAGGTGTGCAGCTTTAAAGTAAAGAGTAGAATATTACCGGGTCAATGAGCAACACTGTGGTCGGTCAGTTCTGTTATAAACAGCACATCTCCTGTTAAAATGCAGCTGAAACTTCTCAGCTCCGTTTGTCAGAATACAAAAGGGGCTTGGAGCACACTGCTTAATTCGCAGCATTTCACTGTGCAGACGGACTAACTGTGGCAGTTTTCTGTCGATCGATGCATCATTTCAGCGCTGAAAGTGAAGGACGCTCATGGCGGGATCAATTGGAGTAAACATCTCAGATTGCAGACTCCCTGCCGTAAACCTGTCCCTAATCAGAGGCTGTAAATTGTTAAACAAATCCTCACCTGCATATAGATGTTTTATCATTTGTTTATGTGTGAAATCCCTCCGTACGCCGCTTAACGCTGCTCCTCACGTCGAGTGAAGCTGACGAGGATTTGTCATTTATAGGAGTCGCTGTGAGGTTCATAAAACTAAACTAAAAATAAAGCATGTGCTGAGACTGAGGATGTCAGGAGATGAGAATATTAGCCAGCTTCTGCCTATTGTGTACATGTAATTGAAAAAGGTGCTGCACTCTCCTCCACCCCTCCTGCTGCCGCCTGCAGTGTGAAACAGCAGCTTCAGTGCTTGCCGAGGAAAAAGGCAAACTGCTGTCAGACTGCTCTCAACTAACTTTGCACTTTAATAGCTGTGTGACCCAGTTTGAATCCTATTGAATTAAATCTATACACATTTATAGCAGCTCCACTTACAGCTGTAAGTCACTGGAGATTACTTATTAAATGCCTCTCGATGTGGTTTATTCTCTCCTCCACTTTCAAAATAACTTCTTTTGATGGCGTTTCCTATCCAGGAACTTGGTTTGGGGCTACGCTGTATTTGCTTCATGCATACTTTACGGTGTTTGTGTACAGAGAACAGAACGCCGCCGCTTCATAAACAAGCGTCCGCGGTAGCGTTTGTGAGAAAACAGGTTTCGCTGTGCCATCAATATTTTAGCCTTTAATGTCCTTTCCCTTGAGGTGCCTCTCTTTCTACATCTTTTATTGATTTAAACTTAATACATAATCATATGCGTGGATGCAGGAGGTAGAAAACCAAACTACAAATCTCCTCATTCTCCTTAAAGTTCAGCATTTTTCACTGATAATCCAAACATTACATACCTACCAGTGTAATTGTAAATGAAAACAAGCCTTAAGGTGGTAAAAGGCAGTTCAAAAATGGCATATTTTAGCCGTATGTGTTACAAAAGACAAGAAACGGTCGTGCAATTTAAAAAATAAAAGCATGCAAATAAAGAAAAACACGTCACCGCCTTTCCAGTTTCCTCTGTCCTGACACCGGAGGGGATTTGGGCAGATTGCAGACAGCCTCGGTTGCAGAAGATCAATTTAACCACATTGTGACTGAATGCAGAGGATGATTCTTGAGTGGCATCTTGGAAATTAAACCCAGAATGCTTTGTTCCAAGCGCTGCTGTACCCACACAACTAATTAGGTGAGTTAAAGCAATAAGTAAAAACTCTTTAAAATGTACTTTTGTCGCTCCTCCATATTGTACGTTTACTCACACGTGGTTCATTAGACTGATGTGTTCTGCTACCAGCCTGTATTGGATCACTATGAAACAACAGTATGATTATTAGACTCATGCACATGTTTGAAGACGCCTGCTAGTAGCTTCAGGCGCCTCCGGGGAAGGTGGAGGTCGCCAGCCTCTGAGTCAGTCACTCAGGGGCTTCTGGGGCTGCAATGTTTGGGAACCACTGCTTTAACGTGCAAATACTGATCATTGATTATGTGTTGCAGGTCTTTGGATTGAAAGCGATGCTGCCGGCTCACGAAGAAGCTCCTGACAGATGGAAGACGAGGTCCCGTCAGATTTGAACACGAATGGATTTCCAGCGTAATGCAGAAACATCTTTCTGAAGTCTTTTGTCGAAATCCTTTGTAAAATTAGGATTTTTTTATTCCCCCTTCCTACCTCCTTCTGGCGTGATCTGCAGCACTTCAACATGCTGTTTTTTTAATTTGTCAGAAATAAATAAACGTGTAAAGCATCCACCCATGGCCTGCTGCAATTAATTGTTGTGTACCAGGAATTCCTGAAGCGATCCCGTTGCATCACGCGACAACATGTACAAGCGCGATAAGCGGCGACGCTCCTGTTGGGCCTCGCGAGCTGTTTGTGAAACAGAAAAAAGGCCCGTGTTGTTTGCTTCTGTAGACGGCAAACATTTATTGATAAGAAAGCCTTCAAATTTTACTGCGTGCAGCCTTGTCTGATGTTATTCAAATGACGCCTCCCCCACCCCTCTACTCCTTTTGTGTAAACTGATTATGCTCGGTGAAGGATAGATAAGTTTTATCGGCGCCTGCCTGGAGAGGAACAGGAGGAACTGATGACATCGGTTAATCCCACAATTAAAGGCACTCTTCCACAGCGTAGCTCTGATATGCAAAAGATGCTAAACAAGTCGCGTGGAGCTGCTTTCATGTTTAAAATATACGAGGCTGAAAATCATGTTTTGTTGTGTCAAGTACACAAGTTTTGGGACAAAAGACCTTGAACTTTATTCCTACAGCAAATGTTCAGGGTGTGTTATGACAATATGACCCAGTACAAAGTGTTTTAGTTGGAATTTGGTGCTGTGGACGTGGAAATGGAGGCATTTCTCTGTAACACATGTAAGATCTGACCTTACTTTGTGAAATGTTTTGACCTGCTGCTGTATAAATAGAACTGAAACGAATGGACGGCAGCAGAAGTTTGGGTAGTCGGCCGCTCTAGCGAGCCTCGCTCAGCGACTCGACCTCGTGCGCTGACAGATGCTGCTGCAGGTTTGAGAAACGGTTGATCAGTCAGACCTTCGTCGCTGTGATTGAGAGTCCGGATGTCATCCTACATTCCTGAAAAATAGCGACAGAATAATGGCAAGAGTGGACGTGATGGACGCCGCTGCACCAGCTCTTCTAGGTCGACTTGCACAACTCAGCCGTTACTGGTTGGGACCGTGTGGAGGAAGATGGGGAGCAAAGGACGAGCAGCGCCAGTCCTTAAAATCCTGAATTGTAGCTGTCATGTTGTGTAATGACATCGGATACGTGACTCACGACTGATTGTTTTCCTCGAGGAGAATAAAGGGGAATTTGTTTTCTGATTATTTTTTTTGACCCCATCCATCTTCTGCTGATCAGGGCTCAGGTTGCCGTCGCAGCAGGATAACCAGCTTGTTTCAGATATCCCTGTCCTCAGCAATGTTTTCCAGTTTCTCATGGGGGATCCCGAGGCGTTCCCAGACCAGATGAGATATGTAATCCTTCCACCAAGCTCCGGGTCTCCTTCCAGCTGAGATGTGCCACCTCAGTTGGATTCTTTTGATGCAAAGGAGCACAGAGTTCTTTCCACACATCTGAGCTCCGAACCTCGTCTTTAAAGCTGAGCCAAGCCACCCTGTGAAGAAACCCATTTTGGCTGCTGTGACCTTACAGGGTTGGAACATTGGTCGAGAGCTTTGCCTTCCCACTCGGCTTCCTCTTCACCAGGACAGGACAGTAGAACGGCCACATTACTACCGGCGCTGCAGCTGTCCATCTCATGCCCTGTTTTCCTGCCACTCATAAACACAACCCTGAGATACTTAAACTGTAGCTTCCAGCAGCAACTTACCTCCAACCCAGAGGGAACAATACACCGCCCCCAGTGCACGCTGAAGGCGACGGTGTGATGAAGCCAACAGAACCATGTCGTCTGCAAAAAGCACAAAACACAACCCGAACCGGGCAGCTCGACTGCCTTCCAGATCCCGTCCATGTGTGTCAGGATCAGAGACGCAGGGAAACCTCGGCAGAGTCCAACACCCACAGGAAACATGCTTTGGCTTTGTGCCGAGAGTACAAGAATATGCAAAGGGATGCGGCTATCAAATATAGCTTAAGACCAAACCGAGTCGTGTTTCTATGGTAACTGACGCTGCCAACCAAACCTGTGTCTGCAGCAGTTTGCTTCTCTGCAAGTTTCAGAACAAAATATAGAAGAGTCGCCTCCTTCCCAGTCATATTCTACTCATTGTTGTGACTGTAGACAAGCCTGACATATATACTATTGTCATTATACCTACATTATATTATATATATTCCATTGTATGGAGGGCGAGAGAGAGACCAGCAGTACATATATTTAGCAGTTTAGCAAAGACGAAAGGGGTAAAGTTGCAAATGTGCAAAGCTGATTGAGACGTATCCAAAAAGGTGCAACAACAAATTGACTTAAAGGCATTAATACTTTGGCATATTTTACATTTTGCATCTTCAACTTTGTAGAAATCCACCTTGAAAGAGTCTGTTTTTGTAAAGTCTTGTCAAAAAAGCCACATTATAATGACCACGATTGAATGTTGAAAAGCAGTTATTTATTATAAGCGCTGTTTGTCTTTATTAACACGAAAAATAAAAAAAAATAAAATAAGCAGCAGTCAACAACCTCACAGCATCAGCCACAGAGCAGCTGTTAGAATGCCAACAAGGTAATCTGAGGTGTTAAAATGGGGCTTAATTGGTTATTCAGCGTCATCAGGATCAGAGGGGCAACATGGTTATATATATATATAATCCACATCTTCAGTTTTATTTAAAAATAGACGGAGGGCCCATAATTATTAATTCGATAGGAAGTCGTATCAGCGAAGCAAAAACACTTCTGGTCACTGTGCCGCCACTTTAGCTTCTGATGGAGCAGAAGAGATGAACTCAAGAGCCCTGTGCAATTAAAAAATTTTAAAAAAGGGTCCTCTGAGTGTCCTCATCCCTAAAACCTGCTAAGTGAAGTGATGAACAGCTCCGAGTTGCTCATCAACATGTTTTCTATTTGCTTTGGCGGTTTTTGCACATGTAGGATTCCCCCCGGACGCTTCCTCTGCCACGGTCCAGAGAGAGAGAGGCTTCCCAGTAACATCTCAACTCAGAATCTTTAAAAGCTAATGGTGCGAAGCCGAACACAGTCTTTAAAATGCTTCTAAGTGACCCAGTTCAGCTGTGTGACCATTAATCTGCTGCACGTTCACCCCCACTCGTGACTAACGACGACCTCTTGATTAACACATCGTGTCCGAGCACGTCGTGTCCCTGATGTGCACAGCTACCCGGCGCCGTGGGACGTTTCCCCCGTTGCCCTTGTTTCCTGGTTCTGGAGCTCTGCACACTCAGGAAAGCCTGCAACTGCCACATCGACTATTTTGATGCCAATGTCAGAGTGGGTTCTGGCCAGCTAAGCAGCATCACAGAGATGTGATCCTGCCCCTGGCTACTCAGCCTTGGCCAATATTGGTAACCTTAAACTTAAATGAATCTGAGCAGAGGGCTGGATTAAGTTTATCTGTGTGGGGATGAAATACAGAGCGAAGGAGCGAGGGCACGGAGAGTTTAGGGAGCAGCAGGAATAACGTGCGGAGACTTAAAATGATGTGCAGGTGCAGCAAAACGCTGTTGGTCATAAACTGTGCAGAAAAAGCCAGAAGGTTTTTTTTTTTTACTCGGTCGGTCCCGCTATCCGTCTTTACGGCATCACTTTGTGCGGACGTTTATTGTTTGAATCAGTGAAGGATTGTTTTCAATCCTGCTTTAAATCTTGAGGTTTTAATATTTAATAGGTTTCTGTTGTGCAGATTTACAAGGAAATGTGTGAACGCACAAGACGAGACTCAGAACTCTAGTTTTCCATTTGATGTCTGAAGTTAGAAATATAATTACAATAGTTAGTTACTGCCAATTACCTCATCAATCCATTTATATATACAGCTGCAAGACATGTTGGATATCTGAGTGAAAGATGGAAAAACTGACTTTTACCTTCCATGACAATATCAAAGGATGCATCAACCAATACTGTGTACGCAGTGCTGTTTGTGACGCATCCTTCTTTCTTTTTACCACTGTCTCCTCAGACGGTAAAACAGTTTTTACAAAGAATTGAGAGTCTGATCATCTCTTGATTAGCGACCATGCAGCTGCTCCTAAAAGGTCCAGGCTCGTTCCTTCGACTGGTTCGCACGAATTTTATTAAAAGTCAAGTCAGTTTTATTCATAACGAACATTTAAACAGAACAAGAATTGAACCAAAGTGCCAAACACGACGACTAAATGACGAATCTGAATAAAAAACGACTAATAATGTAATAAAAAAATATATTTAGAAACACAATAAGGGATGAAGTCAGGGCTCGATGCTGAAGAGACTTAAAAGTTTCTGAGATCTGAGTCGTTCCTACATGAAAAAGCAAACTGTGAGAGATTAAGAGCAGCCGCTGTGAAGATCCAATCGTCTCTAACTTAATTTTTTTTTACCTAAATCTGTACATTGGTCGACCTCAGTGCTCGAACCGGCCTGTACTGATGTACTGTCTGCTACTAAAGGAGGCGCCGACCCGTTTAAAACCTTACAAACAAACAGTAAAACCTTAAAATCGATCCTGAAACTAACTGGATGTTAGTGGAGGGAGGCCAGTGCTGCGTTCTGTAACCTACCTGCTGCAGATACTGAAGATACAAATGCTCTACAGCCACATACAAGGAAGTACAATCATCTGACTGAGTGGTGATAAAGGAAAGAATAGGTTTTTAAAGAAGTGTTTGGGATGGAGATGTGCCTTCACCTTGGCTGAAAGTCTGGCTCGAAAAAAGCTGATTGTGACCTCTGAGCTGATCTATCAGATTTGAAGGAGCTATCTAAGATCTCGCCGAGGTTTTCTTCACACAATATAAAGCCACGAGCACAGCATCCATTCATGATGGTTTCCTTCAAGGAACTGTTGGATGTTTTGGGAAAGATGCTCATTCGGTTTCATTCAGAGAGTGTTTGTGCATTAATTTACACATAGCCAGCAGCCTGTTATCTTAGCTTAGCATAAAGACTGGAACCAGAGGGAAACGGCTAGCTTGGCACTGTTAGAAAAATAATATTAAATGACATTAACCAGTCAGGTCAGTTTGAGCTTTTAGAAAATACAAATGACCCTTTATTTCCTGGTTGATCTTCTGTGACTTAGATTGAATGAAAACTAATTATTTAACTCTACAAACCGCTGTAGAGGAATGTTACAGAGATAATGTGGTTCCTGTTTGACAGCCCAGATGGTGATCCCAGATTCATATTAAAGATCTCATGCTGAGGGTTATCTCCAGGCCTTCATACAGACCAATCTGGGGGAAAAAAAAGTCAGATTTCACACCAACACCTCTGATGAGTCACTCTCAGATTCTCCTCTCGTGCCGCTAATGAACAAATTAGGAGTGAAATGGAAGTAATTTTAGGCTAAATTGAACCTCATTTGCCTTTAGGCCCCTCAGGAGTCTGGCGCTGACCGTTAGCGGTCCGGGGGAGCCCGGCTCGGGCGCCGCTTCCTCCTCATGACTCAATTGCAGCAATTTTTCCAAACGTTTGAGCTGGAATGGGAGCCGCTCTGCCTGGCACGGACCTGGAACCAGCCTGATTAGTGCACATGGTAGACAGAGAAAAAAGATCTGCTTTTATCAATGAGTAATAAGTGATTGATCATCAGGATGACAACAAACAGCTGCTCCACTTGTATGAGTCACTGGCAATCAGAACATGGGCGTGTGGGCTGCTCAAAACAGGAAAAAGACACTAAAATAATGAAACCAAGTGAGCAGAAATAAATGATTAGTGCAGGATCTAATCTCTCCTTTAACTCCCTCCCTCTTGTCTCCCCTCTCCTCCCTCTCCTCCTCCCTCTCTCTCTCTCTCTCTCTCATTTCCATTCAGTCTGTTGAGGCAGCAGCAGCAGCAGCAGCAGTGTTGTATGTGGATCATTGGCCAGAGGACAGCAGCAGCAGCAGCAGCAGCAGCAGCAGGAGGAGGATACATCCCAGAACCGAACTGCCAGAGCATCATGGTCGTTGTGAGAACCGCAGCTTTCCTGTGTCTGCTGCTGGGCGTCTCGCTCCAGGTGGACGTGAAAAGTGGCAAAGAGGCAGGAAAAGCCGGGAATTTCATGGAAGACGAGCAATGGCTGTCCACCATCTCCCAGTACAGCCGGAAGATCAAGCACTGGAACCGCTTCAGAGACGTGAGTTGGTGTGTTTTAGTGTCGTTCCGCCCGCTGTGAGCTCTGCTGCTGGAGCTCCGAGATGCGCCCTGTGGAGGAGACGCAGGCTGCTGCTCCGGGGTTTTTTTTTTTTGCGCACAGTTAAACTGTCAAAGCCGAAGTGCACGTACGCGCAGTTTGAGCAGCTTTTACGCGTGAGAAATACAACTTAGAGAGATGGAAATGTTAGTGCACTTTAAATGTACAGATGCGTGCGGGTGTGTGTGCGTGCGCGTGCATCATGGAAATATAATTATTTATTTTCCTCCAATTTCGAAAAGGTTTCTTTCTCCCTCATATTTCACTCATTCGTTGCCTTTGGATGAGCTGAGATGCCAAACACGTTCCTGCTCTGTGATCTCTGGTTAAAATCATCAGTTTAAATGAAACTGAATGCAGCCAAACTCCAAAAGCTGAAGTCTCACAATCTATCTCTCAGGTATCTGTGGTTTTTCCTGAGCAGTGTTCATCAGCACCCACTGATCTGCCATATTGCACACAAAATGTAGGGTTCACGGTGGGGAGGGCTTTTACGCTGAAAGGACGCACAGCAAGAGTTAAGTTCAGTAAATCATAAATATAAAGAAGATGGAGTGTAGAGGAACGAGCCTGTCTCATTCCCATGTGGATCTATTGTTCACATGGACAGCTTTATTTATTCTGTTTAGCCGGTGGAAGCGTCCACCGGAGACTGAAAAAATGATCCTGAATGTATGAACATCATCATTCCAGCTGGAGTTATTAGATGATTGTCAAAACATTTGCAAATTATCTGCTTTTCTGTGTCGGATATTTTGAGATTTTCAGATTTTAAAACTGTGAAATCTGACAGATGTGCCGGAGCAGTAATTAGCATTTTGTAGCCGAACAGCTTAATCAGTTGATCAGGAATATAATTGGCAGACTTGGTTAAAAATGAATAAATCTTAATTACAAGACCTAATTGCATTCCTTAAGTAACAAACAGTTCATATGGTTAAACCTGTTAATCAATCTACCAGTAGCTCCACAGTCCAGGTTACAGGTGGCTGATGTGGATAAATGCAAGTTTTTCTTTTAAAAAACACAATTTTTGACCTTTTCAACATGTTCAAATGATGTTTTTTATGTGCTAGAAGATCATATCATGAAGGAAATAAGCAGTCGGCACCATTTTCGTCTCACCTTGATGCTGCAGCATCAGTAACAGTCTCACAAACATACTGTAGGAAGTGAATCCTGTCAGGTTGCCGGTTGGGGTTTCCTGTATCTGTAGCTCTAACATGTGCGGCTGAATGACTCCGGTAGTGCAGCTTGAGTCGTAGGTGAGCTGGTGTGCTCGAGCGGGCAGCCTCTACATCTGCACATCTGAGCCAGTTTAAGTCAGGGAGGGATTATCTTCACGGGGAAAGAATTCAAACTTTTGATTCAGCGAGATGAGGGAGGGCTTTAATCCGTCACGACTTTAAATCCAGCAAACCGTGCACCTGATGAATCGAGGCTGCTCATCACGGCGGCGCAAATTCCCCTAAATCCAATCACGACGGGCTCGCTGGTTTGCACCGCCGCCTGGATACAAACAGAGATGTTCCAGGAACCTCACGCAGGTACGCTGCAGTCCACGTCTTGCAGGAGGAGAAATTCTTTTGTCTCTTGTGCCATCGAACGTTTGAAAGCCGAGGATGAGTCAGTCTTCCACTTAGAAGCTGTTGGCGGATAATGATGGAGATCTCGCTGTAGCCGTGGACGCCTGGGTGGGATGATGATGGACGGATGTTCACCACACATGCTTGATGTTGTGCTGTCACTAGTTTATATTGTTTTAAGTGTGTGGGGCCTTGTTTTTGTGTTTTTTTGCATGTGGTTTACATATTTGGATGGAAACGGCGCTGAAACTCAGCGAGTGAGTCACTCCGACTGGCTGCTTCGGTTGCCAGTTTGTTACCAGTCAAAACTAAAGCAGCTAAATTCTGCCTTCGTTAAGGGGAGAAACGAGATGTTTTGTCAGCTTTACAGACATTTGTGAGGCTGTGGTGCTGTTGTGTTCTGCTCAGAGGGGTTGTTCTGTATTAAATCCACCCTCACTGATATGATTTGGACGATGAATTTTAAAACATTTGCAACCAACAGGGGATGTGTGGGCAGCGAGGGGGGAGGACGGTTATCGAGGTAAGGGGTCAGGAGGCTACGGCGCCGGGCGTGCCTCGCCGTTACAGTTACTGACGGCTCCCTGCTGCTGCACAAAGACAGAACACATGGCATGAATCAGGATGCTCGAGATCTCTGAGGAGGAGGAGTTGGTTAGCAACGCTCAGATCCCAGCGTCTACCTTGACAACCGGACAGTTGTTTGATCTCATTGGTGAGAAATATCACCTCAGACGGACGGCCTTATCAGCGTCCGCCAGAGAGCAGCTTCAACGCCTTCGAAGCCGCGTTTGGCGGCGTGCGAGGAATGTGTCCGACAGGCCCAGAGGATTTGTAATGGAATCGCAAATTTGTGCTGTCATGCAGATTTGAGTGTTATCGTCGCCGGTGTTCGGAGGGGTTTGCTTCACCTGTCTGATTGGATCAGTGTTTGACTGACGGCGGGGCGGAACCGGCTGGGATGAGGCCTCTCTGTGGGAGTTTGGCGGCGTGTTCACCAACGTCGTGGGAGGATTTGTTGAATTAGTTTTTTTGTAAAAGTTGAGCTTCAGATTCGTCTTTGATCCGCTTGAATTGACTCGCCTCTGGATTCTGAATCTGTCTTGTTGAGCAAAAGGTGGCGGCGAGCCTTTAAACTGGCCTCTTAAAGTCTACAAGGTGTGCGAAGCATCTGTTACGACTAATCGATTGAAAGGCTAATTGTTTAGTTTATAAGACTAAAAAGCCAGTTTAAACCCATAAGATACTGAATTTACAATACATTCCTCATTTAAGAGGTCAGAACTCACAAATATTTAGTTAGTAACCCAAATGATGGATTGATTTGTAGAAATTCTCACTAAATTCCTGTTGCTCTGTTCTCCTGGATAAATTCATGAAAACTTGACTCCTTGATTCAGATGACTCATCAGTTAATCAGCTGGTTTTCGTCATAAGCATTCAGCCCTCATACGTTTTCTTGTTTTAAGCCTGGTGGATCAAACTGGCTTCGGCGCCACTGAAATCAGAGAAACTCTCCTGCAAGTGCAAACAGATCTGCTGATCGGTTTCATTTGAGTTTAATTAATCTGCTGTGGCTCAGATTTGTAAAACCGGACAAGACGAGTGGTGTGGGCGGGTCGTTTTTGTGATTTGTAGTCAAGACTTCTTCTTCTTCCAGCGACACACTTAGCATACAGACACACAGGAGCGCTATTGATTTTGTCGTCTCACCCTGACAACCTTTGAGAATATGTTTTTTTGTTTTGTGGTGCCGGCCATGTTTAGCCGGTTTATCTTGGTGCTCTGCTTTTGAAAGAAGTGACACGCGATCATTAGCGGCTGTGTAGCTTCACCCTCAGTCAGAATGGGAGCGTACCAGCATGAGAAAGGTTCGTGCCCTCATCAAAAAAAACCCAAAAAATCCCAGCTGAAGCGAAATGATGCTGCAAACATCCGAGCTGCCTCGGTTCTGCTCAGACAGGACTATTCTCAGCTGTACCGGCCGGTGAGATCCACCATCTGAAATGTGAAGGGGTTGTGTTTGTTTACTAGCTGTCTTGGCAAACAGGAGGTGTGAAAAACAGGAAGCATTCATAGCTAAATAAAATAAAATGGGATGTGAAAGAAAAAAAAACCCATCACCATGTGGGCTTTTTATGAAACAGAACGCTGGTTTGACTGATCCGGCTGCTGTTTAAACGTAATGAGGAAACGCTGGAAGGAAAGCCAACAGCTGTAGAGGCAGGAGGTGTCAGGATAATCCACAGAAGGTTACGGGGTGTTATACAAGCTCCATTATGGCAGACATCAACGGTGGGGCTGTAATCATGACACACTGCAAATGTCAAGACATCAAATCTCCCATCGAAGACTCCCCTCCGCTCACATGTGAGAACGCCCACGCCGAGCAGGACGGCAGCAAACCTCAAATGAAGCTTAGTTATGTAAAAAACAACCCCTCTTTGACCACTTGATGTATTTATTCGTCAACACGAGGTCCACTTTGCATTCTGCTGCGTCGGGGTGAACCCGCTCGCTGGGAGCTCGGGCCATGTGAACAATACTGTGCTGTTCACTGGCAGCCAGATTCTGCCATCTCGGCGAGCGCTGCAGAGAGGGACCTCATTAAGGCGCCGCGCAGCCTTTTCAGCCAACCACAGAGCGCCGTTTCAGGTTCTGCACCTGCTCGAGAGCCGCCGCTACGTTTTTAATGAGGGAAAATTGATACGTCGCTTTCAGGTAAATGGTTCCTCAGTCCTGCTTTTTTTTCCTTTTCGGTTGTTAAGATCAGCACAGCGAGGCAAAACAGGAGTCATCATTAGCCACATAGCCGCCTACGAATTAATTTGATTTAAGACGGTGATAAATGCAATTATTAGATAACACTGAGCGGTTGCTTAAATTTTTGCCCGGGCCGCTCAGCGTGCTTAAATCCACACGCTCAATATTCATGAAGGGATGACTAAAGGACGGAGAACATGGTGCGCTGCATGTGGATAACCTTCAGGCTTCCAGCAGATGATTCATTATCATTAATCTATTGATTATTTACAAGCTTACAAAACACAACAAGCGAGCATCTATGAATCTAACGACATAATAACGAGTTGATTAAAGGTGAGGACGGAGACTGTTGACATTTAGCGAGTGGACTGAATCTGATGAAAAGCATATTGGAGAAGAATCGCGTACTCCGCCTTTAATTGACAGAAAACCAATCGATCGATTGTTTTGAGAATCACTTCTGACAGTTTTCTGTTTCTCGGTTTGTTATTTTGTTGTAAACGACACGTTTTGGGGTTTTGGGCCACGGATCAGACAAAACGAGACATTTGAGTGGCGTGATCGG